AAATGGCACCGGAATCGGGTGAGGAGCCCGCCCGAAGCCTCCTCTTCGCGGTGCCCGGCCGAGGGTCGGTGCGGGAGAGTCGCAGACCCGTAAAAACGGCGCTGCTGCAGCAGGGTCCTGCGGGCCGGGCCTCGTTCGTTTGGGTTTTTTTTAAGATCGCGAGCTAGGCCTGTGGTCTGTCACACCAGTTTAATTTCCGTGGGATCAATCGGCAAAAATCTAGACAAATTAACTGATTTGCTCAGTTGAAAAAAAACTTGAAGAAAAATTATTTCTAAAGTCTGAAATGCTGATGCTGCTGTAGTCCAAGGAATGTAAACGTTCACGAAGCGCGGGTCCTCGATGGCCCAGGCTGCACCTGCGAGTGAAGCTTGGGCAGGTGCCGCGTCTGCACGACCCAGAGCCCCCAAGAGCCAGAGCCTCCTGCTCCGCTCCGCTCCAGCGGGGTTCCCTGTCCTGCAGAAGTCTGCGCTGGTCCCGTCCCCAGTTTACGCTGCTTTGTTTCAGAGCGCTCAGATCCATCCCTTCGGAGTGAATATGTTCAAAACACAATGAAAGCGTATCCCCCTTGGGATAAAACATCTATTCCCAGTTCTAGTTTCTGTCTCTTTGTAAATTAACTGGCAGTGCTTTGCTGCTGGTGCTTCTGCGTTCTTTACTTCAGAGATGAAGAAGGTGCAAGTAGTGCCTGAGCTACAAGTGCAGCAGCTCTCGGGGTGTTTATTTTGATGGAAACCTTACTGGGATGAGCACTCGAGGCGCACCAGAGGGACGTCACGAGTCTGTATCACCAAATCTATAAAACATCTAAATGTTCCATGCTGGTGGTGGGTTTCTTGGTCCTTTAGGTTTTGAAAATCGATGTGCAAAGCCTAGGAAGAAATTATTTTTTTAATGCAACAGATTCTGTATGTTACAGGTGTTGATTATGTAATTCCTTCAGACAATACAGCATTTGAAAATAACTGTAATTTCAGTTCTTTCCCAATTTAAGATACGGCCCACCTAAAGCAACGTCCTGTAGTGTAAGTCAGCTGGGGTAAAACCAGTCTGTCACCACGTCTGTCTGACAAACACTGTCATTATAGCGTGAATATCAAGATGACTAGCTTTTACACCTAATTAATAAATGGCTGCTCTCTAGTAGAAGAATTTAAAATGGAAACCACAGTGTTTCTCCTCTGCCGTATCACACAACCTAAGGCAGTGGCCTGGTGGCAGTGCCACAGCTTAGTCTCTGTCTTCCCCTGTCTCTGTTGCCACACAAAGGCTTGCAGATACAGGACAGCCAAATAAACGCTTCAGGCTCTTCACACACCGAGAATCGTTTGTCAGCGCAGATGTCAGGGGTTTTCACCCTTACCTGTTCTTTAAACAGTTTGTGAATGAAGTTGTAAATGTGTAAAAAATGAAAAGCCTTATTTGTAATGTTTGTAAGTTGTTGGCATTCCGCCTCGTACCTGCATTTAGACTTTCAAAAACAAGTACCTCCCACACCAAAACACAAAGAGAAAAACGTACCAAAGTTAAGGAAAGATCTGGAATGGTTTGACGGGGCAGATTCGGATGGTTTTGTCAGTGAAGATGGAGTACAGATGCCTAGAAATGAAAAATGAGGCTGAAGCAGTTAGTCACCAGGGTAATCCCCTGAGGAGCCGGACTCGACACACCTACGGGAAAGCACGTATTGCCACGTGCCCGGTGACTCTGGGCACGGGCACTGTTTCAGCACAAGGCCCAGGCAGGAACCTCCCCCCGGCGGAGCCCGAATGCCACACGGCTTTAAGGACATTATTTGCTCACAGCAGGCAGCGAACGTGCTACCGCAGCGCAGTCCGCTGGGGAAATGTCTGCTCAGAAGTGCTTTAAACGGTTTTTAGCAGTCCTGTTTTCAAGATAAGCATTTTAATTTTAAATCAAAGGGGACTTAATGAGAAACTCCTTATTTATGCTCCAGATAGACTGGGCAGAATCCAGGATGGGGCTCACGGTCCCCACAGCACCCCTGTCCCCCGATCTTAGAGTATTTGTCCCACAATGCTGGTTTCAACGACTCGAAGAATTTGGTAATTTAGGTACACTGGAGCTGTCCCCAGGGTACCCGAAGGGCATCACAGGGGCACCACAGCATCCTCCCGATACCGCTAAGACAACTGTTGCTGCCCAGAGGAGATGCGCTCAGCTAGCCAGCGCAGCGCTGCGTATCCTGCTCCAGAGCAGGCAGACGTGCAGGGCGTCTCATGTTTGACAAGTTCAGGTTCTTAAAAATTCAATCCCACATATTTCTTTATATACTTGCTTAAAGCCATCAGGAAAATGTACATTAGCTTGAAAGACTTACTCTTTCTCACATTTTTCAATATTTTCAAGCTCTGTTAAAAAAAAAATAAAATAAAATAATTAGATAAGCTACTAGGATAAAGGGAATTCACTGATAAATATACACGTAACACATCTCATTAGAACTGTCGTGCCTAGCAGCTGAGATGGAAATGCAGACTTCTGCCCTTCGCTTTGTCTGGCTTTTTTCTGGCCAGCCCAAATGCCTCCGGTTT